TGCACCTTCGCCACTTTAGCGGTGTAGTCTTTGGCATATCGTGCTGTCACGTCACGGCCGAAACCATCCTCTTCTAGGGCAACCACATAAGTCATGCGATTCTCTTGTGGTACTCCAGACCTGAATGAGTTCTCAGCGGAAGGGTCAAAAACATGGCGTTTGTTGACGAAACCACGAATTGGATCGACAGGAAGCCACCGGCCATCTGCGCGCGAGAAAACCTCTGTCCAGAACACAGGAGGAGTGACTGTAGGATCGAAGGGAACTATTCAAGCACAAGCATGACTTCTATTATGTCGAAGGTTGAGATATCTAGCATACCTCTGGTGCTCGCTCGATTTTTAGAGTAGCGCTTGGTTTTCCTGAGCTTGATGACCGGCTGCGCCTTCCCTTTTCCTTTGGCTTGAGCCGAAGCTTTCCCAGGGGATGTATCACCTAGAACTTCTGCTGGCGACTGGGAGTTGATTTCTTTTGCTCCTTCGAAGTCGCTGTCTTGCGATAAATTATCAGTGTCCCTGGCTCTCTGCTTCCCCTTCTGTCTAGATGATGGATGACCTTTCTCGCTGATTTTGAATTTGGGTTTTCCCACACTAGACTGCCATGGAACGCTCTGAAGACTAACAACCAATCTAGCAGGGGTGTCCAATGCTCGACACAACGCAGTGAACAATTGCGCACTTGTATCACGAGAACCAGTTTGCATCAAGGCGTGTTTCATGAGACTATTTGGACTTCGAATACGTTCCCCGTCGTCGCTTTCCTCGTCTTCAAAAATTGCGTTTCCTCGTAGGGCAAGATCACGCTCGTTCTCGTCGAAAGTCCTGTTTCTGATGTGTCCTGTAGGAAGAACGCTGAAAAATGTGCCCGTCCACCATTCCGCCAAGCGAGTAACGGCGGCCTCAAATAATCGACCTCGCTTATTCTGGTCGGGTTCACGAGACTTGTGTATTAGAGCAAAACCATTATGAAGATGAAGTGGTGTTAAGGAGAGCAATCGAGCCTGAAAGGTATTGACAGTCGAATCAATTGGAGAGAAAAAGCCACTTACGTGAAGAAGCTCGTCGTTCAGCCACTTATTCCGTACTCTTGCATTTGCAAGAAGACACACTGTGTGGACTTTATGAGTTCCAGTCCTCAAGATGCGTTCAGCTCGTGCTGCGGCTGCGGCTGCCTTCCTAGATGGTCGTATGTCAGCACCTACACAATCATATGTAAAGAATATAAAGCAACTTGGAATCATCCTTCTTCGTCCCCGGGTGTAGGGTGATTTCAATATTCGCTCGTGGTGCCGGTCCTTCCAACTGGAGTTCTAACTCTGGGTTGGTTTCATGGATTTGCTGAGGAACATCAACCTCCTCCCACTCAAAGTCTTCTTCGCTGCTATCTCCTGGTATCGACCGAGAGTCTAGCATCATGGTGAAAACTTGGTTGACTGACAAGGCATAGGCTCTTCCGCGAGTCACAATTAATTGGTTACGGCGCCGCGTTCATCACGTGGTGTGTATTGATGGCTTGCTTACGTATTGATGAACTCCGCGGCTTGAAGTATTATGCTCACACTGACATACAGATTACTTATCGACACAATAAGTATGCATCTGCCCACTGGCATGCCTTTCACCACACGCTTCAACGAGATGAATTTCGAGGTAAGCCATTACACGGCAGTCGCTCTTTCAATACCTTACTCTGTCCATACAAGAACCTCATTGCAAATGCGACACAAGGATCTGTTCAAGCAATCGCGCAACTAGCAACCCTTGCATCAGATCATGCTTGCCTCCCGAGCCAATATGAGCGCATGATTAAAGTTGCTTACCTCTTGCTTGACACTATGCATATTCCATACTTCGAAGATCCATCAGTCGATGATGTAGAGGCCCCATGTGCTGCCCTCACTTTTATCGGTTCCACATTTTTCATCTGGATATCAGACGATAAGATGGCGAGTGGCCTCATCGCAGACCTGCTGAGTCACTGGGGTGACATTCGCCGTTGGATCCTATATGTCTATGAAGAATTCATCCAAGCAGAGTCATTTGCCATCAACACCCGCCGGGACTGCAAGACCGCCGTCGTGACCTTTTTGGCGTTGACCCGCGATAGGATGCTGAGTGGTTGGTCGAAGAAGGTGGTCACTGATACTAAAATAATGCCCTTGATATTTGCCCTTTGGAACCTTGAAACCACGGATGCTCGATTCTCGTCTCACACGGGGCAATTCAATGCGTATCGTGAATCTGTTGTCCTCAACTCCTGCTTCCTAATATCGCACGAGACGAAATCACCAATCGACTGGGATAAAGCTTTGATTCCTTTCGACGGACGGCCGGACACCGCGTCGAGGATTGCGCTCATGCATTTGTCGCAAGAAATGGCTCGGCCGTACCTGGATCCAGAGTGTATAGCATGGGACGTGCATATCGTTACAGCACTTTCATTCCGCGACGACATGCGCTGGGCATTATTAAACCTAGGAGCAATAGTAAAAATCACGCACGTTATCCACCTCATCGTCGGACGGTCTTTTGATCGAGCAAACCTCACATATGCTGCAAGGTGTATCTCCAACGCATCACTGTTTCTGCGGATTCGTATGCAAGAAAATGATGGCATTCCGTGGATGTCGGAAGCCATTCGGTCCGATCTTATCAAAGGATTGCTCAAATCCGAACGGTACTTACCGTTCATGGACAACGACAAGGCTCGTGATGCACTCTCCGACATACTCCACATGATCATCCCCGCATACACTGCCTACCGTTCTTTACTCCTGCCCATAGCAAAAGCAGTGGCTGAAATAATCGACCTTGGACTAGACAAGCAGCTGGATAAACATGGGAAATTATATGCGGGCTGGGCATGTCTGCAAGAAACGACCGAACGGCGAAAATTACTCAACTACGATGGTCCTGAAAAAGTTCATGTACAGACATGCCATAACGATAATGTGCGTTAGATCATCCATATTGTTGGTTCTACGTTGACACATAATCAGTGTCGAAAAACCGTGTCGACAGGTACGCTCAAGCGGTGTGGGGGATGTCTCCACACGTATTACTGCAGCAAATCGTGTCAGCGGTATGACTGGAGGAGAGGAAAACACAAAGCATACTGTACCAGAGTTCAAGAACGTTCTGCTTGGTCTCGTGAGCATCCTCCTATGCTTGTTCGACGTCAGCTTAGCATCATCTTACAGTCGGAGAGATGAACGGCATATCAAATCGCGACCTCAGATTCCTCGACTGTGTTATAGAAGATGAGCTGAAGAAACACAGAGCACGTATCGCTAACCATGGGCTCAACATAAACGTCATAGAGTTAGACCTCACTCATGGAGAACCAAACATCACTTTCGACTCCAGAGGTGTCAACCCAAGCCCATTCAAGCTCTTGTGCCGATGCGAACACTACGCGAATGATAATTGGAAACGCCTGCGACAACACGTCGCCAGGACAAACGAACCCGTTGTCTTGGTTCGCGCGTTCATTCCAGGTGGAATTTCGAGAAAAGCCGTATTGCGGGCCATCCCGCTTTTCCAAGTACTGGGACGGAGTCCTCCAGTGCAACAATCACGCGTGTACGCCACTTACGTCTATACGTGCTGTGGCAGACCAGGACAGGAGGCCAACAACAGTCCTCTCAGAAATTTTGCAAGTTAATGGGTCATGAAGCGAAGCAGATATTGTACGACAAGTGTGCCTACCCCATTGAATAGTTAGAACAGCGCCATGGTCGCGAATGGACTTGGGATACGTACTAAGCAATGCCTCATATTTAACTGGGTCGAGACCCACCTCTAGATTCAGATTAGTAGTTCACACATGAGTTCGGCATGGTCTGAACCACATCTCAAAAAAAATACGGTGACAGTGCCAGCTAAATGAATTAGTCCGACTAGGCGGAGACTCAAAAAGTAATAAGCAGGGCGTGTGATCGATGAATTCGAAGTGCATGATGCTACGGCAGTCAACAGAGTGATCTTAACACAATCCGACAAGTCTGATGATCGCGAGTCTTGAGCATGCGTGACATATATAGCCATTCTGAGATTGCATATGCATTCTGGCCTGCAAGGTAAGAAATTGCAGCGTTTAAGTATTGTAGAAGCAGAAACACGACGAAAATATATGATTTTTCATCGGCCTGAATATTATGATGATAACACGTTGCCCAAGACTAGCAGGGATGCTTCAAATCGCAAGGAACAGATAAAGTGAGACAAGACGAAGCTGCGGGCCACACTGACACATGTGGGTGTTTCACCCCCGCCGCGGTCTAGCGCCTCCGGCGACGTTCACTCGTTTGGCAATGCGGCGTCTGACCCCCGCAGCCACTGAGTACGACGATGGAACTGAAGGTGTTGGCACGATTAGCGTGAGCTGTAGTTCCTAAAACCATCGCAGTTAGTACTGGTTTTGATAGGACGAAGGGGAAAGCTGTACTTAAACCTGAAGTAAGGAGACGAATGCAAACATGTTGCATATGCTGCACTGTCTAGCCATAGATTCATCAGTCAGGTATGAGATAGTGGTGTAGCATGCATACCATCATAAAGACATTATCTAGAGTAGGTTGAGCATCACGAGCTGCCGCTGTGTTGCTGGCACGAACACTCGTATTCGGCAGGGCATGGTCGTCACCGTCTCACATGCCGGTGCAGTTACCGAGGGTCCTGGATGTCCAGTGGAATGATCGACTGGCCAAAGCGCTGACCAGTACGTTCCGAGCGCGTGAGCGAAAAGGGCCTTTGTGTAAGCGTCCATGTGGAGATTCGCATTCTGGTCGAAGATTCGCGATCTGAGTTCTCTCTCTTCTTCTGCGTCCTGTTGTCCCAGACCGGCCCTTTCAGAGGACCTTGCCCTGTATTGGTGGGAACGATAAACGATAAACGATCTTGCGCTCGAGTGCGACTAGTTATTACATAAATGCCTTTTGATGATGACGTAATATCATAACTTAGTACTAGCGCACGTGGCGTTGTAATAGCAAGTACAAAGTCAGCTGTTTGCATGTAAAACTACAACTTGTCTTGGTGTACCGTAACCGAATGTCTATCACAAGTTCATTCCCTGACCATATCCCCAGCACCATCGGTTATCTCTTCTCACCAAAAGTCACCAATACCGACGGAACGACACGTGACAACTTCTACTTCCAAACTATCTTTCTAGACGAAGTTGTCTCGATAGAGGTGAGTGGCTGCTACTCATCGTAGAGCAAGCTTTGTGTCTCACATATTGACATCAAGGAAGTTCGGGCCAAAGATTACCAGCTCGGTGGTCGACCTCCTTCGTATCCGCCGAAACCAGAATTTTGTGGGGTTTCCTTAGCCCCCGAGCAACGTAGTCTGTTTGACATCGAAGAAGAACACTCCCCACCTTCACATCCGAACGAAATAAAAGAGTCCCCCTCCCCACCCCCGCATTTGAATGACCTCTGGTACGATGATGGGAGCGTTGTCTTGAAAGCTGGAGATGATTTCTTCCGTGTGCATGGATCTATTCTAAGCCAAAAATCTTCTGTTTTTGCAACCATACTTCTTCAAAGTCAGACAGAAAACACAGAAACACATGAAGGGTGCCCTGTGGTTGCACTGGGCGATGATGCTGAAGAGCTCCGGCAGCTTCTCCTTACCATATATGAGATATCGTATGCATCACGTTCTCAAAGATCAGTCGCTTCAACTGACCTGCTGAGCCAGGTACTTCGAGGACAACGCGCAATATTTCGTGTATTTATGCGCCGTTCTTCGTCTCAGCACGAAATATGAGATGAAACGATTGCGTGATTTAGCACTTCAGCGACTGAAACGTGGCGTTCCAACGACACTTGCATCTTTCGATGATCCTGGATATCAGGACGACCGCGCAACCGCGCAAAAACATGTCCTTGCGGTTATCAACCTTGCCCGGGAGACCAACTGCTTGGAACTGCTTCCTTGCGCCTATTACTACTGCTCCCGGTTACCGACAAGTACAATTTTCGAGGGTAGTGGTGGAGTTATCCTGGCTTTACCAGATATAACCGCTTGCATCCTCGGCAAAGAACAGCTTCTGAATATGCAACGCCAAACGACTCACCCGTTTTTATACACACTTCCAAAATCTAAATTTGGGTCCCGTTGCAAGGATCATTGTGGAGGTAATGATCGGCTCTTGGAATATTTGCAGCGCCAGGATTTCAGGAGGCCGTGCACGTTGGAGCAATTCATTGATTGGGAGAAAATAGGGGCGTGCAAAAGCTGTGCCTCCCCACACCAGAGCGCACACACGAAAGGTCGACAAGAAGCATGGGCACAACTTCCTGGAATTTTTGGATTGGAAAGCTGGGAGAAGATCGTCGCATAATTTGATTCGCGGTTGTTGCATGTTTCGCGATGATACAAAAAACAACTAATAGCTTGTAAGGTTTTGTTAATTAGTACTGTATCAAGTGTATTGTATTGTTTCAAAATTTCATGTCCAGCGCAGAGTCAAATATAACATTCATTCATTCACACTCATGAAGGCGCCGCGAAGTATCACGAGGAAAAATGCGACAACATTGCGAGAGGTGAAATTATAGCATAAAAAGCAATAACCAAGACGTTCATGAAGTGCGTGATGCAAAATCGTGAAAATGACGTGAGCATGAGGGTGATCGAAGGTGCGGGTAATGTGAAAGAGGATAAATCATGACAATAGCAATATATAAGAGCAATGAAAACTTGATGACGGGAAGGGTATGTATGCTCCAAAAGAGGGAATAATCATGGTGACAGAGAAATGACATGGGGAACGGCAACCATGCGCACCCAGAAATTAGAACCAAGCAAGTAATGCGAGCGTAATGGATGAATGAGAAGTGAAAATGAGGAAGTTAAAGAAACCAAATGAATAATAAATATACTCATTAGAATCAGCCAACAATAGTGCGGGACAATCTTCTGGAGACTGTCCTTCCAGGCACTATCGCCTTGAACGCGCGGAGAACGATTGCAGCAGTAGCAGTGTTCTTGCCATCCTCCTTAGACGAGCGTGATGTGCTTGCACTGCAAGCTACAACACCAAGCTCATCCACAGATGTATTGCCCCACATGTCATCACTAGACACCGGCTGAGGCATCGTCCGTCGAGAAGAATTAAACACCTTGAAGTTACGCGGATTGCTGTTTGTTGGTTTACATTCCAAAGTGGAGGACGCAGTAGGAACAGGTTGGAGGTTCTCAGATTGGTATCCCTTGCCGACGCGCTTGACACCTGTGGTAGACATGAGGAAGCGGTCATAGACACCTTCCACACGACGTTGATCAGGTGAGTTGATGACCATTTGCTCCCCAGACTTGCGCGGTGGATAAGGTTCCACATGGAAAGGAGACGCAGTAATATCACTGTCATCGAACAGAATTGACCGTCGTCTGATCGGGTGGGGTGTTTGCATGTCAGTCCCATCTACATCACCTGACCATGGCATGAATGGAGGCGCGATGAACATCTTCCGATCCAATACTGCAGACAACCGTGGCGTAGGCGCTACTACTGTTTCTGCTCAAGAACAATCAACAACTAAGCTCATCACAATATGCAGAAAACCCACCTCTCGTAAGATCAAACTCTAGCTTATCAATAGGTCTGATGTGCCTGTCTAAATTTCCCTGAGACCGTGACTTCTCCCTTCTCTTCGACGGCGAGCCCAAACCATCCATGTCATTTTCATCGGCCTTGGGCGAGCGCGTCGAGATGGTGGCACGACGCTGGCGTCGGGGAGTCTGAGCAGGCACATTAATGGTAGGCACACCAGCACGCTGGGTGAACCCAGAGTCATCAGGAGAGAGATACCCCGAGAACGAGTTGCTCTGATCCGCGAGTGCCGATCGTCCTGGGGACAGCGGCGCATTGGGGTCATTACAAAATATCTCATTCGCAGCAAGCATGCGCCTTGGAAGGCGCGAAGATGAACGCGACATATTGGCATTGAGCGCCTGAGAACTAGAACGTGAAATGGGCGGCGAGAGCGGAAGCGCAGGAGGCGGCGTGATGCTGGTGGACGCAAAAGCAAAGTTCTGGCGCGTTTCCTCAACGACTCCTGAAAATGAGTTGCATGAGCCCACCACCCTGTGAACGAGAGTAAATGCGCTTACTCTCAACATTCTGAATCCAGAGATTCATTCGATCTATAGCTGTCTCTCGGTCCTTCTCAGCGGAATCCTCTGGGCGAATATCCTCATAGCTGAATCTCCCAGCTTCACCCGAGCGGCGCTGTTCAAACTCAATGGGCTCCGGAGAAGCACACCACACAGGTGTCGTACGACCACTCGTGATTTGGCCAAGCGTCGAGGACTTGTACATCCGAACGCCTTTATCTGTGTCATCAAAGTTCAGAATTAGACAAAGGGGGTGATTAGAGGGACGCACCGATAGAAGCTTTCACGCTGTGTTTAAGTCCAACAAATCCAGACTCACTCGCCCGACGCATTTCACTTGGGAGGTTACATTCAGCTGGACGTACGTCATCAATCAGCATATATCCAAGATAAAACGCATGCAGAGGACCACTCACCAGGTGCCGTCGACGCTGAATAGCTCCTGTCTATTCCAAGCACCGAAACACTTCCTTTGCTCATCTCCAACAACTGCGCGCTCGCCCTCACGCCTATTCTCGCAATCTCTATATGCTCTGAGCTCAAATCCGCACGATAGCTCGTAACATTCGCATCAATCTCGCTATCTGTCTCCTCTGTCGACACTTCGTGTTTGACGTGCATCTTCACGGGACTCCTCTGCCCGCTCGGAATGGGGGAACGACGTGCCTCCTGAACCTCCTCCCTTTGAATCGCACACTCCACCTCTTCGTCACTCAACTCCGTCTCATCATCGTTAATGTTTCCGTTGGCTGACGTCATAATGGACTCAGCTTCGCGCTGCATCTCCGTCAGTCTCTCCATCTCCCGCAACCGTTCGCGTTCGCGCTCCCACTCGCGCATACGGTCACGTACGCTGCCTTTGCCTACGGTCGAGGACGTGGTATCGGCCATGCCGCTGACATTTACGGTTGTTGATACGTTCGCGAGGTCTGCAGCAGAAGCCTTGGGGGTGTGGTGCTCGTTCAGACTTGTCCTCGACGTGTTCTGTGCGACATTGACATCGGTCCGTGATACACTTCGAACGTCCGTCTTCGATGCATTACGAAGGTCCGGCCTTGACGCGCTCCTAACATCTGTCTTCGAAACATTCCTCAAGTCCGAAACGCTCCTCAAAGTCCCCTTCGCCCTCGCCTTCGGCAACCCATGCGCACCCAAATCCACATTCTTCGCAAAACCCGTCAGGTCTGCCAATACACCCGCTCGAGAACGCGAACGAGGTTTACGACCGCTCATTTTGGGTGTGCTATTTCCTTTGTTTTGGGGGGTGTTGCCTTTGCTATCCGTGATTGGCGTGTTTTCTTTTGCACGTGGCGTGTTTTCCCTCCCTGTCCTCGCGCTCTTCTTTCTACCACCTTCCATGTCTCTGAGAGCGAGATTTGAAGGTGCATTCGGTCCAAGCGGTTTCCGAACTGGCGTGAGCGAATTGAGCGAGAACAACCCAGAGTTGTTGCTCGTGTTACCACTCATGTTCTGAGTATCGACAGGACTGAGGGGGGCAGGTCCGAGCTTCTTTGCGCCCTTAACAACAGGGGATCCTTGTACAGTGGACAACTTCCGTCCTTGGCGACATCCATCCGTGTGAGGGTAGGGTGAGCGGAGCTTGGGTTGTGATTTCGATCGTGCGTGGTGCCTCTCGTTGACGCGGGTGTCCTCCTGGATCTCCTTGTCAGGTGTGCGGGAGACCGAGCGGGATACTGAGGAACGGGAAGGAGAACGAGAATTGGAAGACCAGGGGAGCGAAATGTCAAGACGCCGCGAGACAGGCGCATCTCTGGGTACGGCGTCTTTTGGAGTGGAGGTGTCTTTTGCTGGGGGAGATGTGAATGAAGATGAGAGTGTATGGATGGGCGACTGCTTCGCAGATGAAACGGCAGCAGAGACGGATTTCTCTGTGATAATGGTAAGTATGCATTTTCTAACGAAGATGAAACGTGACTCGCTATGTACAAGCTTGTCCGGAACTGCACCTGCAATCTGCCAATATACATCAGCCATGGCCTGTTTCGCCGTACACCTCAAATCAGCATTGGGAACAATCATGCGCTTGAGCAGCTTCTCCACGGGCCTGGGAATGGTGTATGCGCCTACCCATTTGCCACGCATCTATGCGATGAGCGTCATCAATTATCTGCTCGTTAGACTTTAAAACCCCAGATACTCACCGTCCTGCCCCAGTACTTCTCCAAGTCGGCTTTGCTTGCAAATTGCTCGCCCTCTTCATGTTCAAACGGCGTGCGACCAACCAATATCTCGAAAAAAGTGACACCGAGTGACCAGATATCAGACTTTCGGGTGTCATGGGGAAGACCACGAGCGCGTTCTGGAGAAAGGTACTGCACGTCGCACAAAGTTTAAATGACACGTGAACGCAAAAATAGAGCGGAGAAAATGCGAACCTCAGGGGTGCCGTATGTCAAATTACTATGGAATGCTTTGGGGGAAGACAGGTCGTACTTCTCTGCGAACCCGAAATCGACCAATACGGGTATATTCTTGTGGGAGAGCAAGATGTTGGCAGGTCTGTGGCACGTACAAATTTGGTTAGTGAAGTGCAGGACAAAAGGCACGGACGGAAAGGGTTGACAACGTACTTGATGTCGTTATGCACGACCCCACGCTCGTGCAGGAAGTGGACACCACCCAACAGTGAGCGGAACCATTCTTTTGCTCGTGGTTCGGAAACCTCGACGGGAACGAGGGTTGGTAGATATGCCCTGCAATACAACGTAATTTGTCAACCCTGAGGTTAAAAACGCGACAAGTAACGTACATCGTGATAAGCGCATATGACGGGGTGATGATGAACGAATGAAATGGAATGATCGAGGGATGTGGGTCGGCCTTGAACGAGCGCACGATCTTCATTTCATTCCATCTACGCATAAATGAAGATATGAAAATATGTCAAAAATCTGTGTTAGACGGGCCACGAGGCAAGCGGACTTACAGCGAACGCACGCGTGCGGCCGTTGTGCTAGTCTTGGAGCGGTGTACGAGCTTAACAGCTACTTCGACATCCTTATGCTTGTTGGGTGAGGAACTGGATTTGGGACGGCAAAGCCAAACGCTGCCCCAGTTTCCGAAGCCAATCTATATGACGTTCATTTAACTCGTTCGGAAGAGGGGATACGAGACATACCTCTTTGACGAACTGAAGACGTTCTGCAAGAAGATGGTCTGAGAGGGAGAAGACGTCGTTGGCCTCTGGTGCTGAGGTGTTCATGGTCATTCTTGCTGGATGCTAATGAGTTGGTAGTTAGATGCTTGTGGTATTTAATGAGACTTGGGATTTGCAATGGTATACAAGTACACTGGTAGACGTGAATGGGAATCAGAGGAAGTTAGAACGAAACACTGCTCGTGGTCGTCTGCTGTGATGAGCAGAGTCAGAGCCAACGAGGTCAGTAACAAGAAAATTGGTGGAACAGCTTTATTCGAATCACAGTCTCACATATACATATCACACTCGAACACTACCCAAACATTAGTAAATAACGCGTCGTTAACTTCTCAGTCACGTTACCATCAATCTATGAATAACACTCTCGCACGCATACAATGCGTTGGCCGACAATGACGACGTAACCGCCGACGTTCTTAAATTCTTTAGATCAGAGCTCGGGGACCGACTAGAACACGTACCGACACATAATTGTATGAACCTTTGAAATCTATCATCATTCCAAATGAGGCGGTACCACCATCCGAGCTATTAAGCTGAGCGTTCTGCCGCTGGTGAGTCAATTGCTAAATGCGTTTCAAAGCATCAACAGCTTATTTTCAAGCGACAAGGAACGGTACCTGGCAAGCGACAACTTTATTAATTACATGTATCGTTTCGAACACACTTGATAAAGCCTGGCCAGTGAAAGGTGCGTTCTACTATTTTTCAAGTGCAATATTTGAACAGGTTTCTTGGACCTGATGATCCCCGGTAATATACTTCAAAATATCTAAGCTCTTCATCGCGGGAGCGCAGCCTCGGGTATCTCGCAAATTATAAGGCTGGGTATTCCTGTATGCAGATTCGTGACACGTGTCCCAAGTGGTGGACAACCCACCTACACTCCTTCGATATTCTCCCAGGCGGATCAAAAAGCTGAGCACCGTTTCCAGGTGCGAGTTTATTTCTCCCAAACCCATTCTTACAAGCTGATTGCATGTTTGATTGTGATCCAAGCAGGCCAACGACACCGTTATTCATAGAGACAACTCTAACACATAAACGTCATATAGAAGCTAATTTGGAATTATGATGCTCGAGTCCTCTATCTGTTCGGCAATCCACGTGAATGTCAAGTTTTCAGTTGAGAGAGTGGCTTACTTCCCTTTTAGCTTTATGGCGGGCGATCAGCATATTCTTGGATAGGAAATCCACCACAGGCTCGACCAACAAAACTACCACCCTCGTGCAAACATCACCAGTGCGTTGCGTCACAGTCGGTCGTTGAAACGTTTGACGGAAACACTGTCGTCAAGTCTTCTGCAAATACGTGGCCGCAAGTCGTGATAACGTTGTTGCATTAGTCCGGCAGTCGTAACATCGACAGAGCCTTGCCTGTGTAAAAGCTCAACTAATGCAGTGGCCGACTCGCGTCTCTTCTAAAAGCCCATGCGCGATCCTCACAGTGGTTACCGATGGCAGGAGCGTTGATTAGACTTGCGAATTTGTCTCCTGGCTGATCCTGAGGCCTAGATCTAGAGTGTTGGTCTCATCAATTGTTACCTCACTGTACAGCTGGTGAATTATGTTCGTAACTTCGTTACACGTTGACTTCGAATCGAGATATGTGCTCTAGTGTCAAGAATGTCCAGATGATGAACATATGAGAACATATATACACTGATGAAACTTTGAAGAAAATAGAAGTGTAATTATCAATAGAGGAATTTGCAAGAGAAGACGAAGAAAGCTGCCAGAATTCCGTCCTCATAGAGAAATCTAAGACATGGTCGCACTAAAGAATTCTAGCGGTAGTGTCCACGTGGAAAATATATATTGTGCAGGAACCTCTTGCAGGAGCCTTCAATGCTCCAACGTGAATCCGAGTCGTGAGTGGTATGGTAAGTGGTGACAAAATGTGAGCACACGAAAGTGTGCGATGATCCTTGTCCTGACAAGGCTTGCAACAACATGGCTGTGGAGGATGAACTCGGCGGCTGCTACGTGCCGTTCATGAGCTGCAGTGAGGGTGGCGCCGACGTTACTACCGATGCGGTATTACGATCGGTTTCTGTTATTCCATCGTTGGTGAGAATGTAATTGTCTAAGATTACTTCGAGCGTGCACGGCGAGAGCGCTTGGGCGGCGGGTCTCGTGGAACAGACTTATGTGCCGGGGAGCGGTGTCGAGATATCATGTTCCATAAGCGTTGAGCCAAGGATGGGTTGGGGGGCTGAGGGAAACCCGATGGCTCTGCAGTATCAGCCTGTGATCATGATGTTCATGTGAGAAAGGCGAAGCAGGCAATCAATTGTGAGTACTAACATGAAATATGAACTTAGGCTGATTTTGGTGCTGCGCAAGCTTAGGAGCGTTGACATCGACGATCCACAGAGTGAGTTTCCCGTCGTATCCGCCATGAGCTAGGTATCTCCCGTCTCGCGAGAATGACACACAATGAATGGTTTTAGGATCCTGGCTGACTGATCGGCGGAGTCTGTGTGATTTTGTATTCCATAGCTGTACAACACCGAACAACCCCACGCAAGCCAGGATGTTGTTCTTAGGTGAAAGAGCTACTGAATATAGGTCATGGTCGTGCGCATAGTGATGGAGTAGTTGGCCCGTGGTAGTGTCAAAAACACGTGCGAATCTGTCGGAGGCGGAATAGAGTTTAGTGCCCGACCACACCAACGAAGTCACGACGTTCCCCCCTCCAATAGGTCCAATGACACGCTCTCCATTTGCTGTGTTCCAGATGTAAATTGTATGGTCGCTCCAACCTGACGCAATTCTATCACCCAAAGGTGAATATGAAAGGCTCCACACCTCCTCCCAGCTTCTATAGTCGATATCATATCGGTGCTCTGGCAGCATCCGAATGTCAATCGCAACCTGTAATTTTCCACTTCTTGCTTTTCGGATGAGGATTGTTCCATCACCGGACCCGCTGGCAACATATTTTCCGTTTGGAGACCACGACACCGACCGCACCGCCTTTCTATGACCCTTCCAATTACTAATCATCTTTCCGTTGGTGGTCCAATGCTCAACACCCCTGTTCACCCTCCCACACGCAATTATCTTCCCGTTCGGTGACAATGCCAGTGCGGTTATGTCTCCTCCTGTACCTTTCCACGGTTCACCGACAAGATGTCCCGTATCGCAGTTCCACTTCCGCATCATGCCATCTCGCGATGCGCTCACGATGTGAACATTGTCGCGCAAGAAGACAAGACTCCATATAATGTTCTCGTGGCCCTCAAATTCTTTCCTAGGAGTTGAAGCTTTCCTGTGGAAGAATCTAGCAGCCATAGCTTGTCACCGGTAAGGTTCCCGGGGTATCAAGTCTCGCTCTGACACGGTTCGTGATCAATTATGGGTGGAGTAGTTCAAATCGATTCTCACCGGGTTGTTTTCTGTCTCTTACTTGGTCGCAGGATAGCAAGATGAGTGGTGCCAGTTTATGTGTTGGATACACTGATAAGGTTGACGCTACTTCATCTGACAGGTTCAAATACTCACAGCATTTCGGCTGCAAACGATAAGTTTATGACCGTATCAGGTGGATAGTTCCCATCATGATCGAACGATCATCCACCGGGTCCCGATGTCAGCACACTAGCAACCACAATGTGCATATACGCAATGCCCACTGTCGTGGTCAACATGACCTCTCGCACGTATTCATGATAAACTCTCTTCAGAGCGCGTGTACTCCGATCTCTAAATAGCACTGTTCCCTTCCGCGAAGATGACACAACACAGCTATCATAGCATGCGAAAAATGCGGAGACGAGAGACAGGTGTGCACATGCTACGGGAGTACATTGTGCTTATAGTGATTGTGCTGTAAGGATATTCATCCCATGTTAGTACAAGATGACCTTCCCTGATAATCACGTTAACTAGCAGTTTGTTGCGATCGGTCGTAAATACGATTGACAAAGACCGCTTTGTCGTCAAGTCTCTTGAAAACTACGATGGCTGACCTTGTTGCATCGGCTGTAACCATGTAACCTCCACCTGAGAGCCTTTCCTGTTGGAAATGCGATTCAAACGACTACAAGCACAATGATAGATTTACTGTAAATACCACGAGCAATAGGAAATCTATCATACCCAATACCATCCCACCCCCTGGTCCTACAAGCCGTACATTTATATGAACAAAGACAAATAAGTTATCGAATGACATAGAGTGCCTCAGCAAATGAACTCATGGCTGAAGCGAATTGGAACGACGACAACTAATGATAAATCCACAGCAGCTTACTGCAATTTCTTCTATCCCGCTTGTCGAGGCTTGTGTTTGTATGGGCCGTCCTTGAGAAACCTGCGCCACTTCTGCAGGTTGACCTGGTAGCGTTGAACTGTTGGCTATATCGTCATTCGTGCGTTGCATGGCCGCAGCCGCTTCCGCATCAGATTCAGGGACAATGCCGTATCTCTGCAGAGTGATCTCAATTATATGAAAGGGGAGGGAGGATTAGTAACTCACGTTTTCATCGCGACAAGCAGCAACATCGACAGGACATCTGGAAGATCCTATGGGAGTTGAGCTGGAATTCCAGTGCCGGGAATTCTGTGGTATTCTGTGTTGGGGTGCATTTGCAAGTCGAGTACTGGGACACAGGGAATCAAATGTGAGACTTTTGCCCTGAGCCTGCACTAACTGTTCCCAGAGACCTCGACCATCTTTACTATCCAAGTGGGCGGGAAGAGTGCGATCATAAGAGGGTAAGCTCTGCGCGTGGGCAGGAGGATCATCTCGCTGTTTGCCAATATTCTTCGTGGCACTGAGCGAATCATGCACGGAACCGCGCTGAGCGCAGTCGAGTTGAGATGACAGTGTGTGAGATGGGCAGGATGGAGCCGGCTGCGAAGACCCGCTCGTGTGATCTACAGCCAGAGGAGTCTTGCACGTTACTGTCGATGACTTTGTCTTGCGTTTCAGTATCAAAGCCATGTATTTCTGTTATTCCCCGTCTCTACTAAGAATACAAATGTTTAAAACGTGAAGCCCAAGCTTACCTGGAACCCGCGCACGGCAAACACCTCGACGACTTCTGGATGTGGAGCCATGCTGACGGATGTAGGATCCTTCCCTCGAGTATGCATCGACCATTTCCAAATCTCTGCAGGTGAGCTTTGCGTACTGGTAAGAGACCTTCCACGTGGCTGGCCTTCATCTGCTTCTAGTTTGTTGGAGCCCAGGCCAGCATTTATGGGGCACTGATCACCCATTGCATTGAGATGATTTTTTCAATAGCAGAAACGCGACTTACATCGGCATCTTGGATGCTGGCCTTATCATTTTCTTCTGCTCGCAACTTCTCGTCTGGTGTTGGTTGGTTGTGTGCTATGGTTGCAGGCTCAACGAATGTATTTGAGCATACCCGCCATGCCAAGAGCTTGTGCTTGGTGCATTCTCGTAATGTGACAGACCGAGATATTATTTTCCAGAAGCGTTGAGCTGGGGACGGGTTGGGAGGCCGAGGGGATTTCGCTGTTGTGGCAGGAAGAGTAGTTTGAGAAAACTACATACAATTATCATCAGTACTAGACCCTTCGCGTGACAAACATAATGTATACCTGGAAAAAATTGTATGGGTCATCGCGCATCTCCTCGGTGATGCCATCACTCCCCGTAGCATCAACCTGTGATAGACTGTGAGCCGAGCAAGATAAGCCATCAAATATAAGAGTACTAACGTCGAGGAAAGAAGACACTAGTGGGGACTGGGGTTGAGTTCTTTGGTGTAGCTCGGGCAGAGTCTCTTCAGGCTGTTGCGTAGCTTCAAGTTGTCCATGATCTTGTTGAGGTAGTGTGGATGCTTCAAAATCGGGAACTATGTCTTCCACCATCCAGAGAGTAACCTTGCCGTCCATTCCGCAATATGCTAGATGGTTCCCGTCTCGAGAAAATGCCACATGACGAAGGGTCAGGTGGTCGTGAAATGGCTGTCCAAGTGGCTGATAGGATTCTGTGTCCCATAGTTGTGCAACACCTTTACTGCCCACACATGCTAGGAGATTGTTTTTGGGTGAAAGCGTAACAGAAAACAATATATGGTCGTGCTCCAAGGAATGGAGTAGTGCACCTGATTCGCTATCAAAAACACGTGCAAAGAAGTCGGATGCAGAATAAAGTCTAGTGTTGTCTGACGACCACACCACCGACATCACAGAGCTCCACAGGTTTTTAATGGGCCCGACGGTGAGCTGGCCAGTTCCAGATGCAGATTGTAGCGTTGTACCCGCCTGATGCAATCTTCTCTCCCGAAGGTGAATATGCAAGTGCAGACACACCAATTTGCTTCGTCTGGATTGGGCCCACCTCTACATCCCCACTTTCTACTTTTCGAATCAGGATTTCTCCATCGAAGGATCCGCTGGCGATATGACCTCCGCTGGGAGACCATGAGAGCGACCGCACCCAGTTCCTATGACACCTCCAGATACCTTGAAGCATGACTTCTCCATGGGTGTTCAACTGTTGAACACTTCCATCTGCCCTCCCGCACGCAATCATCTTCCCGTCCGGTGAAAGAGCCATTGCATACATCCTTCCCCCCTTGCTTATTAATGGCTTCCCAACAGCGAGTCCTGTGTCAAGGTCCCACTTATGTATCGTGCCGTCCTCCAAACCGCTCATAACGTGAATATTGTCGTGTAAGAAGACGAAATCTCGAATTCTCTTCTTGCGTACTTCAAGCTTGTTCTTTGGTATTGGTTTGTTTGATTGCACCGGGATTGAGGCTTCCTTGGGGGTTTGCCCCACAAAGAGTCTAGCAGCCATGGCTCGTTATCGATAAGGTGCCTAGTGCCTCGATCTGGCTGTAACGTGGCTCATGATCAATTATGGGTTCAATGACAGTTCACCGGTTCTTACCAGTGCTCTACTATCTCTCGCCTGGGGACAAGCAAGCTAGGATGGCGAGTGCTTTAATATGGCTTCTACACGACATTTCTAATCCTCGGTTGAGAGAAAGTTCATATGGCGATATATACAGCGTGGTGATATTCGATATCAGTGACGCAGCTTCTCGCCCATTAAAGTAGTTTGCTCCAGGGCACCCATAAGTACTCTGAATCCTAAAACGCCACATCCTGCTCATTAAAAGCTCTGTCCCTGCTCAAAAAAACAGCACAACACCTTGCAATACTCGCCGATGTCATGATGGCTATCATGGCATACATGAGGCCCTTTTAGTTGCATGGTCATATGGGCGGGACCAAGAGACATGGAGATGAATCTGACACACCAGGTGCCAGTGAGCGAACTCGGGCTCTCGGCTTTCGGCGCTCTTAAGTTGGTGCAGATTCATTCGGTGTTAGATGCTGAATCAGAATATATTGTCCCAGTCTCATATGCGCCCAGACGAGAACCATCCAGTGTTGATCGGAACAGTGTGCATCCTGCAGCTTCTAGCTATACTTGGTGCCATTATCGCAATTCAGTGAGCGCCAAGCCAAATCAAACTCGGATACAGCCGGGAGATCTGGGCTGAATGCAACACAAATGAACGGTCGAACGAGGGTCACGCGTTTTGCAATTAGCAAATTTATGGTATCCTGGTATGTGATTGTTACCGTTATAAGCTCATCTATATTTTTATCTCGAAAGTTCATCAAATGGATTGGCAAAAAGTATCTTTGCTGTAACCAATTAAACCTCATGGTCGTCTTCGCTTTCTATGTGCATAACCGCTATTATGTTCTCAATGCTCATGTCATCCTGAGCATGTGTTCTGCTAGGCATCGTCCAAGTCTCAGGCTTTTCACGCTGGCTGGATGGCTTCCGCTGTGACGCTAACTTAGCGTTCATGACTTTGGGACATGGTTTAAACTAAAGCAAGAGTCCAGGTTGGAGCTAGTAAGGTGCGGGAAGATATGCATCTTAGAGGACATTGGATACATCACTTATTAGATTTCGGGCGCGAGGAAATTCATACTAACGTCAAGTTGTTTACAACAGACTCGATGCTATATCCTCCACTAAGAAGACACATGGTCGTGGCATGAGTGGAGAAATCGTACAGCACTCGATACAGGACGAGGTACCGCTTGGCAGAGGGGCGATCCCTGACCTCTTGAAGTTGATACCAGCTATCCTCGTGCTTCGGTAACATGCATCAATCCGGTGACAGCCTGTCGCGCCGCAATGATTCATGTGTGTGGCCATGGGGTGGTATGTTGCGTTTTTAATCATGGGACTGCTGGCCAATCCTCGGTTTCATCTATAGTGCTGTATTCACTTCTCACCAAATTTACAGTGCTTTTCCTTTGCGTCCACACTCCTAGTATGCATCTCGCGCGTCAATCCTGTATTGTTGTATTACCTAATTCGTTCATGTATGTTGATTTTCAGACGCAGTGTCAAGTGTTGTCTCACTGTGTCAAGCACCCGGTCAACTCTCTATACTACTCCGCACCACCACGTCAAGCCCCAACCATGGCATGTCAAAAGCCTCGTTTGGGCTGGGTCAAGCACCACTCACACCACGACAAGTTCTCCCAAACATCTTCGCAGTCTCTGTACTAATATCAACATCCACACTCCATGCCGCGTCAAGACCTACTATCAGTGCCGCGTCAACCATAGCACATACCGCGTCAGTGCCATGTCACATGGTCACGCAGCGTCACGGCCGCGTCACGACCGCGTGAAAATAGCTACGCCCGGAGCCCCTGCCCCACCAACTTAACAGTACTTATCTCCGGAGAAGGTTACGCGCGTGCTAGTCCTTGCGGCGGCACACAGTAGTATCACGTGCATAGCTTAATCTAAGCTTCAAGCCTGAATAGGCTTCCGCTCGATATTTGCATCATCGCGATGGTGTTCTATCATTCACTCCCGCCCATTCAGGTACTTAGGTCCAAGTAGTGCTCACAGTCTTATTCCGAATCATACACAGGTTTCGGCTTCTATAAATAATCCTGCTGACGAAAAACAACGGCGCCGGCTCCGAGCGCAGTTGGGCATAGTCCTGTGCCTGTACAAGCCGTTCAACTTCGTAGCCCACGCCGTTCTCAGCATCCATAGAAATGGCAACCTATAAATGATCTCCCAATAGATCCCACTTCGACACAAACATAACGATGAATTTATTTACCATCCCCTCTCCATCAAGTCTCTGGACAACCGTACGTTCGGGTGGCGCATTTCACGTTGCTTGTTCATTTGCTGCATTATGGGCTTTTGTCAAAGTCCTAAGGATGCTTCGCTGGCGAGTGAAGACGACTCAACTGCTGGGTCCGCCTCGTACCAGCCTCCTATATGGCGTTTCGCGCGACCTCGCCATAACTCAAGATAGTGGTGCAATCTATGAACGTTGGGCGACGGAATATGGGGTAGTGTATATGACTCCGAGCGTCCTCGGGCAGACTAGAGTCGTGCTGTGTGACCCAAGAGCTATTGCACATTTCTACGCTCGCGAGACATATGTGCATACGCCCCTTTCGTTGGCACTTCTGAAGGCATCAGTATGTTAACATCATCATCTTACCTCGTTTGTTTCATATCTCCTGTCAGGTTGGCAAAGGGCTACTATGGGCTCAGGGCGAAACCCACAAAAGGTACTGTTCAGCTCTTGTCCTTGCGCAAGCGACTTACCTACCACCCGCGAATTAGGCAGCGGAAGGCCCTCACGCCAGCATTCAGTAATGCAGCCATTCGGAAGCTCACATCGGTGTTTTATGACTCAGCATACAAGGTAAGGATTTACGTTGCGGGACATGCAGCATCTCTGAACTTGATACGTTACAGGCCAAAGGAAAATGGGATACTGTCCTTGAATCGAGCAAAGATGGCGACGCTGTAATCGAGGTCCAGAACTGGTGCGTAGCTTTTCTGACTTGCAAGTGCCATTCCTAATCGAAACGACTCAAAGGATGAATCATATATCGTACGCGAAGATATTTTGTCATTGACGCCTTGAACTGACGGAACATCAGTTTGGACACGGTTGGCATTGCTGGCTTCTCCCATGATTTTGGCTCGCTCGATGGAAAGCCCGCCAGCGTGACCGAAGTGTTTGATACATTTGGAAGCAACCAACCTTCAGCAGCGAACGATATTTTCATCCTGCTCGCATCAGTATTTCCCATCATTCTCAAGATCCCCACTGAGCGGCGGAATCTATTCAAGAAACTTAGCGTCACCATGGGACAAATATCTAACGAATTGTTGATTCGCAGCCGCCGGGAAAAGGATGTCAACATAGGCGAGAGAGGCCAGGAAAATTCTGTTATCGGATTGTTGAGTACGCTGTCTGAGAGATTCATCGTAGTCTCTTAATTAATGCGGCGATCAGTTAAATCCGAAGGTCAAGATACCGAGTTACATATGTCGGAGGAGGAAGTAATAGCTCAGGTCCGTGAAGACGATGTATCACAGCCGTGATTTACGAGCTCACATCCCGCAGATGAGGGTCTTGCTTCTCGCGGGTTATGAGACAACATCCGGTGAGTCAGTTTCTTGCCCGCTGTTGTCATACTGGCTGACTCTTCGTTGACAGTTAGTCTCACGGTGAGTTTACTGCATGATTGCGTCTGCACGCTATTAATGTGATGATCAGTGGGCGCTGATCGAGCTATCGCGACACCCCGATGTTCAAACCAGGCTTAGAGAGGAACTGCTTGCCTTTGGCCCTGATCCGACATATGACCAATTAAAGGCCAGCCTCCCGTACCTGGATGCGGTTGTGCATGAAACCCTACGACTTCATCCTCCAGTGCCAGAATCCATTCGTCTTGTGAGTGCGTATGTCTGCATGTGAATAGATACGACAACTTTAAGTCCACAGGCAGCAGCAGATGACGTTATTCCCTTGAGCGAACCTGTGCGCACGATGTCTGGCAACATGACGGATAGTATATCCATAGCAAAAGGGACATTGGTCACGGTATCAATTGCGGCAATCAATCGCTCTTCGACCATCTGGGGACCTCACGCAAAGGAATTCAAGCCTGACCGTTGGCTGACTGAAGACGGCATCGGTGGGAAGGCCAAGGAAGTCCAAGGTCATAGGCATTTGCTGACATTCGTTGATGGCCCGAGGACGTGTCTTGGAAAAGATTTTGCGATCATGGAGTTCAAGGTGAGTGATGCGGATCAGGAACTTTGGACGTTATTCACTGTGATACAGACGGTTTTATCGGTTCTGGTGAAGAACTTCGTGTTTGAGATGCGGGATGGACCAGATACCCCAGTCGAAGTTGCGAGGGGGATTTTACCTCGTCCACGGGTTGTTGGAGAGGATGGTACTGGAGTGCCTTTGAGAATCCGTCGGTATGAATGATTGGTTGCGCTGCACCAGATTTTACTATATTTCCCCCCACTCATTCGCGACCAAAACCCTTGATTTGTATTCAAAACAGAAGAGGTATGTGCGATTGGTATTGTAATATGGACACTATATAGCTTTGTATGCGCTATCCTTGCTATCTTTTTTGTTGCCAAGCGGAGCATTCCCAGAACATCGACGCCCATGGATTTGAAGTGATAAGTAGTGTACACAAAAACTGATAAATTTATTATGGCATCGACATTCTGGTCGATTTGCTCATCTTCTTCCAATGTATGCTTTTGTTATCGGCTGGGTGTGGTACTACTTACCATTCATCGTTCTTAAGTTTGTGATTCTGGTGGAGTTTTGAGGTGTTTTACTCAAGGGCAGAGGTACTACCACACGTTTTCCTGACGTGGAGTCCTGAACTTGAGACATGGTTTAAACTAAAGCAAGAGTCCAGGTTGGAGCTAGCAAGGTGCGGGAGATGTGCATGTTACAGGACATGGGATACACGACTTATTAGATTTCAGCCTGTACAGAATCAGCCTGCTTGTATGGGGAAGACGGTGCAGAGTTCAATAAGATAACCCATGTACAACGAACAAGAATAAATAAGTTATCGAATGCCATAGTGTCAAGAAATGGACCCATGCTGATGTACGTTGGAACGACGACGATAGCCAAAGAAAAATCCGCAGCAGCTTACTCCTCCATAGAGAATTTCTTCTGGACCGCTTCTCGAAGCTTGTGTTTGTATGGGCTGTCCTTGAGACAGATATGCCACCACTGTAAGTTGACCCGGTTGCGTTGAACTGCTGGCCACATCGTCATTCGTGCGTAGCATGGCTGCAGCCGCTTCCGCATCAGTCTCAGGGACAATGCCGTATCTCTGTAGAGTGATTTAAATAATATGAAAGGGGTGATAACGAGTTACTTACATCTTCATCACGGCAAGCAGCAATATCGACAGGACATCTGGAAGATCCTGGGAAAAATAAGCTGGAATTCCAGTGCCAGGGATTGTGCAGTATTTGTTGGGGAGCACATGCAGGTGGAGTGGTGGAATGTAGGCAACCAGATGTTGGATTTTTTCCTTGAGGCTGAAATAGTCGTTTCCAGAGGTTTCGATTATCTTCGCTATCGAGGTGGGCGGTGGAACGCTGTTTGCCTTTATCCTTTCTGGCGCCGAGCGAATCATTCGCAGAAGCACGCTGACAGCCATTGTGTTGAGATGACATTGCGAGAGTCGAAACAACACGTACATCATCAACAGTTCCACCCTGTTCGCCTTCGCCTTCGCCATCCTCTTCTCTCACTTTCCCTTCTGGCACTGATTGGTTGGGTTTGATGGTTGCAAGCTCCACGGACAAGTTTGAGCGAGCGCGACGACCGAAGAAACCACGTTTGGAGCGTTCTTGTAGAACGGACTCGTCTGGCGGTGAGTGACGTCGAGAAATGACATTCAACAAGCGACGAGCCGAAAATAAGGAGGGTAAATGGAAGCCAGGCGATGGCAATGGAAGAGATTGCTGCGAAAACTATGAGTACGTGATATCAGTACCGGTGCTCTTGCATGAAAACAAGAGTTCCACCTGGAAGAAGTTGTTGTTATTATATGGGTCGTCATGTGCCTCCTCGATGAAGCCACCACCTCTCGTAGCATCAACCTGCAACGGCACTGTGAGAAAAGTAAGACAGGCAGACAAACGTGAAAGCACTGACGTCAAGGCATGATAATGATGGGGAGCTAGGCCGAGTTTTTTGTTGTGTGCTTTGTCCATCACCTTGCTGGGGTGGTGTGGGTGCTGGAAGCTGAGCAGCTACGTCTTTGAGCATCCATAGAGTGAATTCCCCATCATCTCCGCCATATGCTACGTATCTCCCGTCTCGAGAGAACGATACACAGAGAAGCCATCCGTTATACTCCTGGTAGAATGGCTGGCCGAGTGGCTGGTGGGACTCTGTGTCCCATAGCTGTGCAACACCTTGGAAGCCCACACACACGAGGACATCGTTTTTGGGAGAAAGTGCGACCGAATACAGGGAATCATCGTGCTCGAAGGAATGGAGTAATTCGCCTGATGTGCTGTTGAAAACACGTGCAAATGTGTCTGATGCCGAGTACAGTTTACTGCTGTCGGCCGACCACACCAACGACGTTACATCTAACCCCAGGCCATTGATTGGGCCAATGATAAGCTCGCCGGTTTTCGTATCCCAAATGCAAATCGTACAGTCGCTCCCGCCTGATGCAATTCTCTCACCCGAAGGCGAATACGCAAGACTCCGCATACAGTGGTTCTGCTTCATGTTGATCGGGCCCACCTCGACTTTTCCGCTGTCTGCTCTTCGAATGAGGATTGTTCCATCTCCTGACCCGCTGGCAATATGCCTTCCGCTAGGTGACCACGAGAGGGACTGCACTACCTTGCTATGACCAGTCCAAACACCTTCGATCCTCTTTCCGTCGGTAGTCCACTGCTGAACGCTTCCGTCCTTCCTTCCACACGCAATCACCTTCCCGTCTGGTGAAAGCGCCAATGCATATATATCCTCTCCCTCAGCTTTCCATGGTTTCCCGACAACAAGTCCTGTGTCGCAGTTCCACTTGCACATCGTGCCGTCAGACGAACCACTCACGATGTGGACATTGTCGTGCAAGAAAACGAAATCCCAAATCTTCCTTTCGTGTCCTTCAAATTTGTACTTAAAAGTTAGTCTTTTGGATTGCGATGCGGTCGAGGTTTCCTTGGGAGTTTGCACTGCACATGATCTAGCAGCCATAGCCCATTATTCCAATCTAGTGGATCAATCTGACTCTGCCACGGGTGGTGATCAATTATGGGGCCGAAAAGTTCGACCAGCACTCACTAGTTAATATGCTGGTCTGTTGCTTGGGGGAAACCTGGCAAGACAGGCGAGTTTTTATGTCCTGGAGGTGGCATGCATGGCTTCCTCGAGGCGGCGCTAATCGTCTAGGTTCATCTCGCATCGGTTGATGTTTGCAAACAACGATCTCCAACTATCCAATTGCAGTCGTGTTCTCTCAAGGCGACACATCGACCAGTAAGTGACGCAGCTTCTCGTGTCTATCTATCATTTGCTCCAAGAACCAACGTTATTGTTCATATGTACTCCGAACTCTGACTATCTCTTAATCATTCAAAATTGTACTCCCGTCCAGAACACAATGCAGTCCTTACTGACGTCAGGACGAGCTGTCATAGCATGTGCGGTGCGAGAGACAGTGCCCAGGGAATTCTGGCATGCCAGGTGAGTACATCGTGTTTCTGGTGTTTGTCCTGTATATTTATCCAATACTGGGTGTGTCTTCGAATCAGAACTTCACAGAAGTGTTGGTCAGTACAGATGATCTTCGCTCATCACCTGCACGCTTTGTCACACAGCCTTATTCTCGCCTTTGACCCATCCCTCGTGTCAACACAGAACGTTGATTGCGCGTTTCTCAGGTCTACACGACTTAAGGACCTCATTTGACATGCTTCTTAGTGGTGGCCACAGATCATGGAATACAGATGTTGACTTCCAATCTAATGAGATTGATTGATGGGTGTCGTTCTTCGACTCTCTGCTCACGCCATTCAACCAAGTGTCATGTCATGTCTGCATGCGTATGCTGACCCATCTCTCCTAGCTGCCTCTGAGTCAGCCGTCTTGCCTGCCATAGGGCACTCATTAAAACAATGACACTTTTCTTTATGCGCCAGCTCAATACTTATGAGTTCCGCTGTGACACTGCATCGATTTCTCGAACTCCGAACATCTCTACACTCTATTTCATTCTCTGATGGCCTGACGTCCACCGGCATAAGGTTCGATATATCGGTGATTTCAATCTGAAAACGTCCTGCCACCCACCTGACCTGCACCAACGATCATGCTAACTTGCTGACTCGAGCCGATCCTCAGCTCATGAAGTACATTTACGGGCCCACCCGCCGCAGCCTGCGAAAGTATATAATATACTAGTAGGTCCGCGATAGAGTGCTTGTAAGTGCGGGACAATGGGGAGGGTCGAAAATTGTTTGATGAGGACCTTCGAAGTTTCGTTTCATCATAACAAGGACAGGTCGGCTCTTCGACGATATATTGTGTTCACAGTAATAACTCAGGAAATACAATATCATGTAGCACAATGTTGTTCTTGAGTTCGAAGTCTCTGCAAATAGACACAGCGTGTCTCTCCAGATCTCAGATCTCACCGGTGCACCCCTGACCTGACTGAGCATTTACATAACATTTGAGACAAAAGGATGATATAAAAAACGCACCGAGGGGGCGTGGTTCCAACACCTTTCGTATCATATATACCAGTTACAAATAGGATCATTCTGGGGCAATTGCCATTGAACGGCACAGCGCGGAATCACCACAGTACATAGGTACGAGTCCCGTTATGTCCAACTTGAAGGGTCTCGGAATATCACTGACTGTGAGTCTAACATAAGAATGGCGCCAGTGTTGACTCCGAACATCATTATCTTTGGAGAAACAGGAGTGGGCAAAAGCTCCGTCATCAACCTGATGGCTGGCAAACAGATTGCGCACATATCACCTGACTCTCACCGCTGTACTCTGCATTGGACGGAGTACCAAGTAACCTTTGGAAATGGGACTCGATACAAGGTGTTTGATACGGTCGGCCTCGACTCGTATGGGCACCCTCAGGTTCTACTGCCACACACCAGAGAGTATGTCTCCGCAATTTTAAATGCATACGACCTCATCGACACTTTGAAAAAACGTGGAGGTATCAACCTCTTGCTCTTTTGCATACATGGAGGTACTAGTAGAGTCACGGCAACCATGCAGAGAAACTATAGGGTGTTCTTCGAATTTCTCTGCCAGGAAAGAGTGCCGCTCGTGCTAGTAGTCACAAACCTCGAAAGAGAGCGAACGATGGAAGACTGGTACACGCGGAATATAGGCAACTTCGAGAAGCATGGCATCAGGCCCACGGGACACGCATGCATAACCGCGGCAAATACTACTAGTTGGTCGGACACGTCCGGCAGGAGGAATAGAGACAACATCAGCAATATCTCACATTTCCTTTTCGGTCTGATTCATATTATTGCTCTGAAAAAAGTCGCTAAGTAAAAAAAGGAAACCTCTGATGTTACTGATTCTACTGATTTCACTTTTTACAAACTTGGTTCAAATCAATATTGTAGTATAAGACGCGAAAGTGAATTAAGTGCGGTAATACATTTTTTTTTGACAAATATGTTAGTATGCGATTGGTAACAATAAAAGATGAATATACTTCGCGCACGGGTCTGGAACAAACAGACACTCTCAGTTGTGCCGCGTGCGCGCGAAGGTAAACGTGTACTACTCGAAGTAAGTAAAGGTGAATATGTGAAACTGTGAGTACCTCACCTCAGCCGTGCATGCGAAGGCCAACATCTGAGGTGCGAACCGCTGAACCAGAGTCTTGTGTGGTGCGATTGGTTAGGTTGGGCTGTCCCTAGAGTGTTAACTCTAGGAGGGACAAAAGTGTGGAAGCCGCTCACCCATATAAGACCGATTAATGTGGCTGGTGTGGATGGCGGAGCTTTGAACGGAAGTTGAATTTCGCACGTTTAGGAATAAGCGTGTCGATGCAACCTTTTTGTTATTCACCAGAAGAATGCTTACTACTCGCGGCGTTACCCGCCTCTCACATCTCAGAAGTTGTTGCCTGCCATTCGCAGACTGTGAGTGTGCTGATCCTCCTTCAAGCTCAAGCCATGCTGATAGTAATACCCACCTCTCGGAAGTCGTTGCCCACCGTTTGCAGACTGTAAGTGTGCCGATTCTCCTTCGAGTTTAAGCCATGCTGATCACAGTCCTTTCCCACCAGTCGCAGGTCTGCAGCTTACCTCCCACTTCACCAGCGAGGCAACAGCGAAAACTTGGATCTGTCAGCATCACGGCGTTTTGTACCATTCAAGTTTTTACTGCCGCCACCTTCATATTGCTCTTCATCGTAGTATTACAGTTGAAGTTTTGTTCACTCGCAATTTCGACTGCTTTGTCTAACAGTATTCGCTCATTTTCTAAATCCTATTTTAATTGACTTTTTGTCGTGTTTCATTACTTCACTTATTGTACTGAATGATCACTTTTTCATCTTACTACCAGAGCGATAAGTGAAATTAAGACGAAAATAAGAGATCGACTGGTCTGAATAAGTCAGTGTTTGCTTATCCAGCGCTCCTACTTATTTGTGCTTATTAAGTCATTTAAGCACATCAAGTAAATGTGAGAATTTCCTGATGAAGTATAAGGAGTCGCAGTATAGGGGGTCGCAGTTGATGCATGAATCAAGGCACCGAGTCCGTGGATTGGTTGAGCTTCATTGCAATGCATACACAGAAGGATGGACCGGTGGACAAGGATGGTTTGCGTCCGAGTCCGAGTCGTTCATAAGCAAGTTCGTGAGGCAAGTTACTAGACGTCCCAACTTGAAAAAGGTGGATATCATCAGTGAGATCCTCGTAAAACGAAGTGGAATGGCCAAGGAGGTGGCTCAGCGGGTAGCACAGCACATTATTAGATACGACAAAAATCAATCGTAGGATAATCTCGTACTTGTCACTACTATCAGGTACACACTACTACTAGTGCCGTGACAACGTCGACCTTGCAGTACGTAGTAAAGGCGTTTATAACGAGCGCGAGAACAACGAGGAGTCTAGAACGAGAAAGATCTCAGTGTCTTGAACGAAACTCTATTACAAACGGTGCGTCTACCTAGAACGAGAAAGCTACAGCTAACGTTAGACGTGTTAACAACTCTAGGTGACTTTTAGAACGTACATCTCAGTGTCTTGAACGAAACTGAGATGCACCTGCGCTACTGGTACTGGTCTTATAGTAAGTGTGTCAGGAACTTGAATATATGAATGAGAGACTGAAAATAATCTAGGATGCGAGCCGATGTCACTCCACCGCTCGGCTATGTCCATTTTGGCTTGAGCTCGTACCTATCACCTCCCGGACATCCTTATCTCGGATCCTTCGGCTTCTCTCGTCTCGGACGTCTCGGCTTCGTAGTCCAACACTCCCCCTCGAGCGCAAGCCACGCTCATCAGCATCCTCAACTTCTGGAGTCGTGGTCGTGGGAGCGCCTTCGTAAAGGCGTCAGCGACGTTGTCCTCGGAGGGGCAGTAGAATAACTTGAAGGTGCCGTTCTTGACGTGTGAGCGGACGAAGTGGTATCGAAGGTCGATGTGCTTGGTGCGTGACTGGAACTTTCCATTGGATGCTAATGCTATCGCAGCTTGATTGTCACAGAACACGGGAATGGGATGTGGGACGGGGTCGTAGAGCTCTTCGATGAGCAACTGAAGGTAAAGTAATTCGCGTATCACACTGGTCAGGGCGATATACTCAGCCTCTGCCGTGGATAGCGCGATCAGTGGTTGCTTACGGGCACTCCATGCCACTGGCCCTCCGTTTAATAGAACGACATACCCGGACATCGAGTGTCGGTGGGGTTGGGACGCCCAGTCTGCATCCACGAAGGCTTCAAGGCCGCCGTCCGTCAAACCGAGTGTCAGCTCGTAGTCTCCCGTTCCCTTGAGGTAATGTAGCGCCCTTTTGGTGGCCTCCCAGTGGGGCCTACCAGGATTGCGCATGAATTGCGACAGCGTCGCGACGGGGAATGCTATATCAGGCCTGGTGCTAGTGGCTGCGTACATCAGCGAGCCAATGGCTCGCTGATACGGCACGTCGCGCATGGCCTGGATCTCCTGCACTGTGGCAGGTCCCTGCTCAACGGACAAGGTAAGTGTTGGCTCCATCGGCGTCTGCGCACTCTTAGCGTCTCCCATGTAGAAGCGTTCGACGATCGTGTTGACATAGGCTTTTTGGGAGAGGGTCAAGGTACGTGCACCACGGTCTCGTGTTACCTTTAGGCCTAACAACCAGCTTAGCTCGCCTAGGTCCGTGATTTCGAAGAATTCGCGGAGGTGGGACTTGAAACGGGTGATGTGGGAGGTGCTGTTGGCGGTGACGGCCATGTCGTCCACGGAAACGGTGATGACGACGTGTTCTCCCGGTGCCCACCTGTAGTACACTGCCTGGTCCACCTTGGACCGGGTGAATCCTATCTTCGCAAAGACTCCCGCTAACTCCTCAGCCCACTCAAAACCGGCCTGCTTCAAACCAGGTAAGCTCCTTCGCAGCCGCAACACCTTTCCTCGCTGACTCTCCGTGAGATAGCCGGGTGGCGCGCGCATGTAAATCTCCTCCTGGATACTGGCATACAGGTACGCACTTTTTATATCGACCTGGTGGATCTCCCAGTCGTTCTGAGCCGCCATTGTCAGCACGGTGCATATGGTGCTCATGTTGGCTGTCGGCGCGAACGTGTCGAAGTAGTCGACGCCGAATTGCTGCCTCTGGCCGTTGGCAACGAGGCGTGCCTGCAGTTTGAGTTTTTCGCCGTCGGGTCCACGTTTCGTGGCCAAAACGAAATGGCAGGGGATGAGGTTAGAGCCACGAGGTAAGTCTACTACTTCCCACGTCCCCAACTTCTCAAGTTGACTAATCTCGTAATCAACAGCTTCTTGCCACTCTACTCCATCCGGTCCGTTTAACGCCTGCTGCAAGGTGGGCTCTGGTTGGGCAACTGCCAAGGCAAGTTGAAGGTGAGTCTCTTCGTCCACTAAATCTACCTCTGACGCTTCCAATAGGTTCTCCATCGCTATGGCCGCTGCATTGCTGCCTTCGTTCAGGCTCGCATAGTAGCCTGGAGGAGGTCTTGCCCTCGTCGTCCTTGGAGGAGTAGATGGCTGAGGTTGCTGCTCGGTAGATGGTTGAGGTTGCTGGGCGGTAGATGGTTGAGGTTGCTGCTGCAAGGTAGTGGTGATGGGCTGGACGCTATGAGGTAAGTTATTATTATTACTGTTGCCGCTGTTATGTTCGTTAACAGCGGTAGGCTCCCCCTCGTCCAGTGCATCCACCAGGATCTCTGCCGGTGCAAAGGTGAGGTTCCTCTCCACCGATACACGGCGCTTCCCCGGCCAGTACACCCTATAACCCTTGCTTTCAGCGTCTACCCCTACGAATATCGCCTCCTCCGCCTTCGGCTCCAACTTCCCTGCATCCAGCACGTGGACGAAGACTTTCGCCCCAAACTCATGGGCGCGCGACAAGTCTGGCTTCGCCTTCCGCACCAGCTCGTATGGCGTCGTGCCAGGGGTGGACCTTGATGGTAAGCGGTTTTTCAACCAAGTCGCGTAGTTGACTGCCTCCGCCCACAGGTACTTCGGGAGATCTCTCCCTATCAGCATTGCCCTAGCGTGCTCGACGAGGGTCCTGTTCAGGCGTTCGGCTACGCCATTCTGCTGAGGTGAGTCGTGGACCGTCAACTGACGTTCAATGCCCTTCTGATGGAGGTATAGGTCAAACTCGGCGCTGAGATACTCTCCCCCTCTGTCCGAGCGGACCTTTCGCAGCCGAACTCCCGGCATCTGATGCGCCAACCAGGCTTCATAGCCCTTAAATGCGGTAAGTGCCTCGCTCTTCAGTTTGAGAAACTGAACTTTGGTCTGTCGGCTGTAGTCATCCGTGAACGTGACGTAGTATAGGCACCCGGCGATGCTCGCCGTTTGGGCAGGGCCCCATAGATCAGTGTGCACAAGTTCGCCGTAGGTAAGTGCGCGGCTTGTGCTCTCCTCTGGGAATGGCTTCCTCGTTGACTTAGCTTGGACGCAGGCTTCACAAAATTCGGCCTTCGACGCCTCATCCAGTTCTAGGCCGGTGACTAGGCCCTTTCTGATCGCATCGGCGGCTGCAGTCTGGGACACGTGTCCCAGTACTTTGTGGGCGCTGCTGACGGTGAGCTTGCCTTTTGCGACGTTGGCATGATGCTGACGTTGTTGTCCTCCTGCGACGCTATACAGGCCTTCAACCTGCGGGATCTCCGCAATGACCTTTCGGTCCGGCCCTTTGGATAAGAGCTTGCACATCCTGCCCTCGAACAGCACGGCTAGACCAGCTGCCGCGATACGGTTCGTGGAAATTAGCGTAAAGGCCATCTTCGGTGCGTACAGTGCATTTTTTAATGTCACCCTTGTACGTTTCTCACCGAGCGGTAGCTCCAGGTGCACATCCCCTCGCCCAATGGCACTCAAACTGGAACCGTCGGCCGTCCGAACGTCTTGGGGAGGGATACTCACGAAGTTCGTGAACTTGGCCCTATCAGGGCAAA